ACATAGGGTCGCTATGAGTCGCAGGTGACTCGACGGCACATAACAACAACAACAACAACATGCTCATGCATTTGGCTATACGGATCATAACAATTTAAGGCTAACATTGAGAAGAATGGGAATCTCAGTTCACTAACGCTCTTGCAAAACCTGTACCTAGACCAAGAAACTTGTCTGAGCAGAACAAGAAACATGGTTTAAAATCAGGAGAGGTGTACCTCTAGGTTGTGTTCTTTTTGTTTACCTATTCAATGTGCATGCTGAATAAATCATTTGAGAAGCTGAATTATATCAAGATGAATTGGAGGAAGACTCACCGATAACCTGCGTTATACAGATGGCACAACCTTGCCTGCAGAAAGTGGAGAAGACTTGATGCACCTACTGCAGAAGTTCAAAGACTCCAGCTTTCAAAGGAAGTCTCACCACTGGACCAAGAGGCAATATCATGACAGATGGAGAAAAGACTCAAGTTGTCAACGATTTCCTTTTACTTGGCTCCGCACTCAACACCCACGGTAGCTGCAGTCAAGGAATCGGGGAGATCTACTCTTGACGAGGACAGACTTGACTAAGGAGGAAGGCACATCCGATCCAACCCATAGGAATTTCAGTTAGTTCCTGGGCATCTGAGAGTTGGACCGTGAATAAGGAAGACAGAGGAAGAATTGACGCCTTTGAATTGTGGTGGTAGCACTGAGAACAAACAGGTCTGTCTTGAAGGAGGTGTAACCAGCATCTGCTCCTGAGAAGTAAGGATGGTGAACCCTGTCTCACCTACATTGGGTGTATTTTCAGGAGGAACCCATTTTCTCGGAGACAGACATCTCGCTGGGCAATGTAGAGTGTCAGCAACAGAGAGGCAGCCTGTCAACAGGATGGACGACACGGTGACTCCTTCAACAGGCCTGAGCGTGACAGTGAGATGAGGACGGCGCACGACAGGGCGAGTTCAGGAGTGCTGGTCACCGGAAGTGTGAGGCCGGTGACTCAAGAGCTCTGAACAGTGACAGCCGGCCTGTATTTGAACACCTACTTGGTGGTGAAAGCAAAACATCTGAATTGTGGTAAGGGGCACAGAAAGTGTACCTTATCCCAGCAACTGCATCTTCTCACTATAAGTCAATTAATAAGGCACTTTGGTTTATTCTAATGTAACATCGGCCAGGATTACAACACAGTCACCATCTAAGGACTACTGATGTTTACACGTCTTTTCATTCTGAAGTTCTGTATCCTGCAACCAGATTCCACACTGAAACGCTGTCCTCCTAGTGTTCAGACAGTGGGAAGACAATGGGAAGCCAGGCCATGTGCGACGCGTGTGTAAGACCAACCTCAGAGCTTTGAAAAACAGCTGTAGCATTCCAGGCTTCCCTTTCGAGAGCCTGACTGTGTACCCAGAGATCTTCCACGAGATTCCAGCTAACTATCCTCATCGCTGTTGTTTTGGGCCATCAAGTCAGAGGTGACTCCAGCGGTTTTCAGAGATGAAACCACAGGGAGGAGATGGTCTGTCTCCCTCCTTGTGAGCAGCGGGCGGGCTTGAACTGCCTGCTTTTGGGTTGGCAGTGCCCTCCTCACTCTCTAGGTCATCAGAGTCCCGATAACACCTTGTTGTGGGTTTGTATCATCGAGTCAGATAGGACCCACGGATGACCCTCCAGGGGGTTTTCAGAGTCAGTTAATCACACAGGAGGAGATGCCATCCTTCCCCTGCAGAGCAGCTCGCGGATTCGAACCACATGACTTTGAGAGGGTAGCACAGCTTCTTACTGCTAGGCCACCAGAGCTCCCACAAGGAAACAAAGATTGGCCCCCTCATGTAAACTTTCACAAACTCACACTGCTCAACTTCTTAACTTCCTGGCCTCCAAGAGATACAGGGTACCCCCTCCAAGGCCCAACTGTCTCTGCCCACTGCCACGGATCTCGGTTTTCAACTGACCCCACAGCTAGAAGTTTAACAGTCAATCGGAGCAGTCATTGAAAGCCTCTAGCCACTCCAAACTGCTGATCAAATCTCTTTTCTCGGTTTTATCAGTTTTCTTAGATACTAGATTCCTAACTTTTCCTTACCAGCAAAACCCCTTTATATGACGTGGCAAAAGCCACCCCGCAAGGACCCCTAGATTCACCCCAAATAGTTAAAAAAACTTTTCTCAAGTTCTAGCATCTCCTCTTACAGTTCCCACCCCTTTCATTGTCAAGTCCATCTAAGCCTTCCTATCTATACACTGACAAAAGGAGTGCCATCTACTTTTTTCTCGAGAACCCTGATATTAGCCTCCCTCAATCACCGTCCCTCAACTCAGCCACCCTACTTCCAGTAAACACCTCGGATGATAATGACCACAGCTGCCCTTAAGTCCTTGAAGATACAGGCTCTTTACTTCCCTATCTAAGCAACCTAATCCAGACCATACTGTTTGTTGACAGCAGCTCTGAAGGTTACCCTTAGCCAGCCTATGTTGCAGATTTCATAAACAGTGTGGAAAGCAGCATCCAAGCAGCATCTCGCTCATCATCCTTTCTGAGTCCCTTCGAGCTAATGTAGGGCGGGCCATTTCTGCTCAACCCTAACCTACCCACTAAACTCCCTCTTTTAGCATCATACTGTCAGGCCTCGACCAAGGTCAAAGGGAGAAGGATTCAAGGCATATCAACATGTCAACAAAGCGAGTGAAGCCTCAACTACCAAGGAGTGTCCCTCCCTTCCCTCCCTAGAGGACCACCCACCTGGCTAAACCACAATGGAATGTCCCCTCCTTCCCTCCTTAAAGACCCTCACTATAAAAACCCTGCCCTAAAAAAACCAAAACCAAACCAAAAAACCTGCCCTAATCAACCTTAGGGTGCAGTTCCTCTGGTCTGTCTCTCTCTAGACCAAGGAATCCCCCTTAATAAAGCTTCTTTTTAGCTTTCTTTCCCTGGTTCCTTTCTTGAGTCCTTGGCCTTCTGTCCAGTGGGAAGACCCCAGACAATTACTTTGGGAACACGCAGACTGCTGCATACCCAGACCCTCACCTGAAAGTGTAGACCAGACAGCTGGAGTTGCCCAGGAGACTCTGTCCTCATCAAATGGCATGCACCCGAATCTCTCCAATCACGCTACGACAGACCTTACACAGTCATCCTGACAACCCCACAGTGGTTAAGGTCATAGGTAACCCCATTAGCACCACCTTTCCCAGGTCAAACATGCTCCTCTCACGGAACAGACCTATACCTCTCAAATGGTGGGCCCCGCTACTCTTCACCTCTCAGATCCCAAGCTCTAAGTAGCTCTTCATATCGTTACTAATCACTACCTGCCTTTTTAAATTCTTACTTCACAGGATAAAAGGCCACATTAACGGTGAGCCAGCTGCTGTGACATCCATATTCTCCCCTGTCTACTGGTCCCAGGCCAACCCAATCCAGTCTCTGGGCCCCAGATCTTTGCCCCTGTTCAGCAGGAAGTAGCTAGAATAAAGAAACATACGTCACCCTTTTTCTCACTAAAGAGGCTGGATGTCACCTTCCCTCTCTGAAGATCCTTACTATAAAAACCTGCCCAACCCACCTTAGGGTGTGGTTTTCCCCTGGTCTCCCTCTCTCCCTCTCCAGACCAAGGAATCCCACCCAGGAGTCCCCCTAATAAAGCTGCTTTAAGCTTTCAGAAAAAAAAAAATAAAAAAAAAATAAAAAAGATTCTCAGCACTAGATTGATGGGCAAAACCATTATAGAGGCAAAGAGACCGAGACTGTTGACAGTTTCAGCTTGCTTGGCTCCACAATCAACACTCTTGGTACTAGCAGCCAGGAAATCAAAAGGTGAATTGCATTTGGAAAGTCTGCTGTCAGAAACCTCTCCAGCATACTGAAGAGCAACGATATCAGTCTGGAGACTAAGGTGCACTTGATCCAGGCCATAGTTTTTGCAATTACTTGCTATGAGTCAGAGAGCTGGACAATAAATGACTAGGAATGATAGAAGGAAGACTGATGCCTTTGAGCTGTGGTGTGGTAATGAATATACTATGGACTGCCAGGAGAACAAACAGGTTTGCCTTGGAGAGGGTGAAACCAGGCTGCTTAAGGGCAAGGATTCTGGCATACTTTGGGCATGTTGCAAGGAAGAACTAGTCCTTGGAAAAGGACATCATGTTTGGAGGGTGCAGAGACAGTGCACGAGGAAGACCCTCAACGAGATAAATTGATTCAGTGACTGGGGTAATGAGGGTAGGTGTTAGAGACGATAAAGGTGGCACAGGATAGAGCAAGGTTCAGAGCTGTTGTATACAGGGTCGCTATGAGTCGCAAGCAAGTCGACGGCACATAATAATAACAACAAATAACTATACACTTATTTTGGGAACCTTGGTATGCACTCATGCTTATATGAATACTCCATATTTATGTAATCTCATTTTTATAAAACTTCTGTAAGTGCAAATATTACAATTCACTTTGTGAACAACAAAAATACTTGCCTGAATGCTTTTCTTTTTTCCTGCTGGTCAGAAGAGACGTACGCCTTCATCTCATCAGTAGCACGGCGAAGTTGTACTTCCAGGTTCTGGGTGGAAAGATGACATTGCAGGCATGTCCTTGACACGAAACCTCAGCAACAGTTTTAGATTCATTTTCCTGTCTTACCTTAATTACACAATTTGTATAATGGTATTTACTTTCTTCCTGAAGACATTCTTCACGAAGTCCTCTGACTTCCTATAAAACACCACATATAAATCAGCAATATTACAGAAAGAACTAAACAGGTGCACTGGGAGCTCGGGGGGCCTAGAGGGCAAGGAGACGTGCTGCAAACTCAGACAGGTGGTTTGAATCTATAAACTGCGCCGTGGAATAATGAATAATCCTCCCGTGTGATTTACAATCTCTAAAAAACCGCTAATGATCAACTCTGAGTCTCTCCCGACTCGAAGGCACGAGTCACGTAACAACCACCACAATATCGACGCCCGGCGAACCCCACCCTGACCCACTGGTGATGGGCTGATTCCAAGTCACTGACCCTGGAGGCCAGAACCCGACTGCCCGTGAGGTTTCTAAGGCTGTACAACTTTATGGAAACACACGGCCACAGTTTCCTTCTGTGGAGCAGCTGGTGGGTGACAATCAACACCCTTCCAGTTAGCAACCCAGTGTCCAACCTCTGGCTCCTTAACGGGCCCCACCACGCTCCTTGGAGACTCAGAGGACTTTAAATGAACAGCAGATGCCATTCGAGTCATCTGCTCTTTGGCACTTTTAACTCTCCCTTAAAACAGAGCAGCTTAGAATCTTTTCTAGAGCTTCTCATGTCATGACAAACACTGATTCAAGAGCTCCCGTGTGCCGTCCTGCCCCGGGGCTCCGTGTCAGGGCAGACAGGACAGGCGGCTCCCTGCTCTCATGCGAGTGCACGCAGGGAAGCAGACATATGCAGGGACACACATGACAAGGTCACTGCCGGCAAGGACATAGTGCTCAGAAGGAAACACAACAGCTCAAAGGGACGAGTGGTCGGGTGGGATGTGCTGGGAGGACAGTGGACGCTGTTGGACACAGATGTGAAATTTATGGCTTTAGCAAGACTGGAATCATGACAGGCCCAGAAATCAACGTTGGATTCCAGTTCACTGGCATTGAAAGTATTTCAACTCTTACATTCTGACAGGTAGAATCCACGGTGTACTGCACACCTGAGGAATGGCTGCGCTTGCCCTGCACTTCACGTTAAGGTAAAGCCTAACAAGTCCAGTTGTGAAAGTCACACAGATTCTAAATTGTTGGAACTTCAGCCGTGAAATCCATATACTTGGAAATGTCAACTCATCACACACTACTCAATTTGTACAATAAATTATGAAAAGAGGGGAAGTAAAAAGAGCAGGTGTTGGTGAGGGGCAACGTTCAGTCAGAGCAGAGTCAGGGGTTCGTAAGGGCTCCAGGTAGAAGGAAGAACTGCAAATGCCCTCCGGCAACAAGGACAAAGGCCGGCCAGTGCGGCAGGAGCCCCAAGGGTGAGGAGTGAAGCCCTGGACGGAGCTGCCGAGGCTGTGAAGGCCCCGCACCTGGTGTCCAGGGGTCGCGGTCTAGAAGTGAGGTTTAATCTGAGGTGCCGTGGGATGGCGATGGAGGAGCCAGTGGACGCCCCAAGTCTAACAGAGGTGTCGCTGGCTGCTCCGTGGAGTGGCCACGAGGAGGCCACATGGAAGGTTAGCATGGCAGCTGAGGACAGAGGCTGGTCAGCTGGCCTTTCTCTCTGTGAACAGGGGGTGTGAGGACATAAAGACCTTCGACATGGTGGCTGACGCTGCTGGCTTTGGGACCTCTTGAATGTGAGCCGGTGCTGTCTGCCCCTCAGGCCGCCGTGTTTGCAGATCTTACCTGTTCTAACTTGGATCGGTTGCTCTCAAGGCCTGCTGCACAGCTATCATACTGGGATTTCTTTTCATCACACTCCTGGGTTAGTTCCTAGTGCGGAAAGGGCAAACGAGTGAAGAAGTGAGAAACAAAGGCCTCCAATGTGGCTCGGAGACAAGGTTCACCCTTGTCGATCTTGTAACTCAATGCTAAGCTCCCTGGCAGACTTAAGAGCTATTTATACAACAAGCGGACGTTGGAGAGTATGATGGATGGAGGCACTGATAAGAGGCACAGCCACCTTGTAGGGAGCGGCGTGCCAGGCTCTGTCAGGATCACAGGAACAGTACAGCCACCGGTCCTTTCCCTCAGAGAACGTTCACTCAGGGCCAACAGGCTGCCAAAGGCCACGTGGGCACGCAGGACCCTCGGGGCCACAGCCCAGCGTAGGGATCAGCGGAGACAATGCTGTGGACAAAGTGCTGGCCAAGGTGAGGCATGAAGGATTCCTAAGAACCAGTTAGGGGACATGGGTGAGAGAAGAGTGTTGAGGAAAAGGGGTCATCGTCCACGAAGTCCCGGAAGTGCTGGAGAACAAGAATCATTTCTACATCACTGGGCTGCTGGCGAGGCGGGTCCAGGTGAAGGAACCTGGTGAAGGAGTTGATTATACGGGGAGGGCCTGGCAGTGATGAGGGAGGCAGAGTGGAAGACCGAGGTGGGGGGCTGACCTTTGTAAACTCTGCCAGGGTGTCTGCACCTGACCCTCACCAACAGCCAGGCCCCACACAAAGCACCGTCCCAGCTATGAGAGACACAGCACCAAGAGAGAACCAAAATCCACGGGCAAGACAGAGGTGCTGCGTCCTGTCCTGCTTGGGGACATGCTGGTTTCCGTCACACTTCACGCGCCAGGAACAGAGAAGCTACGAGGGAGAAACAGCTGTCAGTCTAAGTATACGAGCTTCTCCTTGTTCCTGGGGAGTGGGGACGGTTAAGGCTCCGTGGAAGTCCTAAGTCCCGCTACCGACGAACGTGACCCAGATGCGGTTAGTGAACACAAGGTCACACCGCGCTGAAGTGGGCACTACGGCAACATTAGCGTCTTCCTAAGATGAGAAGAAACACAGACATATGGAAAGGTACAGGGAGACAGAGGCACAGATTCAGTTATGATGCCACAAACTTAAGCAACGACATATAAAGACACATTCAAAATGGGACACCTATAAACACACACAGAATTTTTAAAAACCAATAGAGAATAGTAAGAGAGATGGACAATCAAGTTCTGTGCAGGTCCTGCCTCTGAAAACCTGCTGGAGGTTGCGCTGAGGGTCGGTTCTAGGCCTGCACACAGCGACGACGTGGTAACATAGATAAATCACCCAACGGTACACAGGAATGACATGTGGGAACATACACGACTTGAGTACCTACTGCTGCTGAGTGCCACCGTGTCGGAACTCACTCAGCCGACCCTCCGAGACAGTACATCACACAGGAGGAGAGTGGCCATCCCTCCCCCAGGGAGCACTTGGTGGCCTCGAACCGCAGGCCACGGACACTGCAGCAGAGCTTCTCACCACCAGGCCACCAGAGGCCCTGCTGCTCTTAAGTGCTGTCAAGTCAACTAAGACTCAGAATGACTCTAAGAACAACAAGCAGGAACCTTGCCCTAGCCTGCGCCATGACCAACTCTAAAACGATAAATTATCCAACAGCTGCAAGGAAAAGGAGAATGTCACACCCTGAGAAAATGAGATAGTAATTCACTCGGTACTGCTCACTTTCTCTCTCTCTCTCTCTCACACACTCTCTCTCTCTCTCTCTCTCACACTCTCACACACACACACACACACACACACACACACACACACACACACGTCAATCCTAGCAAACACTGAAGAAAGTGATTATCCTAATATACAAAATGTGCCAGAACTGAAAATGGGACGGGCTCTAAACTCTTCCTATGAAACCAGAATCATCTTGTAGTAAAAACCAGATTAGAACAACAGGAAAAGTTTATTCATATGATGCAAAGTAAAGACATTCCTGACGAATTAAATGTTTCGTTGCAGGTGCCAAGTCGGCTCCGATGCACAGGGAGCCCGTGGGGGGCTGAGCAAAGCCGGGGCTGCCCTGAGCCGGCCGCAGTCTCTGCTGTCCGAACACGGCAGGCAGGGTCTTCTTTTCTGCTGCGGCTCTGATAGACCACCATGATGTCTGTGCCCAGAGACGACCCGTCCCTCTTCATGACATGCCCGGAAGAAGGGAGAGTGTCATCACCCTTGCTTTACAGAGTATTCTGGCTACACTTCTTCCGAAACACAGATATATGCTGTTTAGTCTTTTGGGAATCCAACACAACTTAAAGGCATCCCATTTCCTTCTACTTTGTCCAACATTTTCGCATGCATATGGTTCAAAATCACAAAAGAAGTGTGTCAGGGATGTGTCCTCTCTCCGCATCTTTTCAATCTCTATGCAGATCAGATCATTTGGGAGGCTGGACTTGATGAGGAGGAGTGTGCCATCAGGATTGGAGGAAGACTCATCCACAACCTATGTTATGGAGACAATACAACCTTGCTTGCTGAAACTCAGGAGGACCTGAAGCACTTGCTGCAGAAAGTCAATGACAGTTGTCTTCAATATAGATTGAAGCTCAACATCAAGAAGAAAGATTCTCACCACCGGGCCAATTGGCAGCACCATGATGGATGAAGAAGAGATTGAGGCTGTTAACAATGACAGCTTGCTCGGCTCCACAATCAACACTCTTGGCACCAGCAGTCAAAAGCAATCAAAAAGACAAATTGCACTAGGAAAAATCTGCTGTCAGGGACCTCTCTATAGAGTACTGAGAGGCAAAGATGTCAGTCTAGAGACTAAAGTGGGCCTGATCCAGGCCATGGTCTTCACAATTCTTGCTATGCATCAGAGAGCTGGACCATGACTAAGGATGACAGAAGAATTAATGCCTTTGAGTTGTGGTGCTGGAGAAGAGTCTTGAACATACCATGGACCACCAAGAAAACAAATAGGTCTGTCTTGAAGAGAGTGAAGCCAAGTTTCTCCTTGGAGGCTGGGATTTTGAAGCTTCGACTCACATACTCTGGGTATGTGACCAGGAGAGACTAGTCCTTGGAGAAGGACATCATGCTTGGAAGGGTGGAGGGACAGCGCAGGAGAGGGAGACCCCGGATGAGATGGATTGATAGAGTAACTGGGGCAATGGGGGTAGGTGTGTCAGAGTCAGTGAGCCTGGCTCAGGACAGGGCAGGCTTCAGAGCTATTGTACACAGGGTCGCTACAGGTCACAGGCTACTCGATGGCACCTAACAACAACAACAACATGAGGTGACAGTAAATACCATGCCTTCCACCAGTAGAAGAACAACACCCTTGCTCTTGATCACTTTAAAGAGGTCCTCAGTGTACTGCCAGCTCTGTATCTTTCCAAGTATGAGATCTCTCTCCAGAAGGAATAACCTCTCCTAGCAACAAGTATGTGAGATGGAGCACTGGCTGCACTTTGTCCAAGAGATGTCTGTCTGTTCTTGTGGCAGTCTACGGGATGTTCAGTCATCACTATACACTGTATCCAGTTCTCAGATACATCGCAAGTGACTGAAAAGACCACAGTGAATTTGGCACACCTTGGTCTTCAAACTGATATCACTGCTCCTCAGTAATTTGGAGAGGTCCCTGACTGCCGACTTTCCCAGTGCAATACGTCTCCTGATCTCCTAACTGCAGGTATAATGGTGTGGATTGTGGATCCAAGAGGAAGTTGTTGACAGTTTCAATCTTTCTTCCATCCATCATGGTGTTGTCTATCAGTCCAGTGGCTCAGATTCTGCTTTCTTGACGTTGAGATGCAATCCATGTCGCAGGCTGCGTTCCTTGATCCTCTGCAGCAAGTGCTTCAAGTTCTCACTTTCAACAAGCAAGGTTCTATCATCTGCGTAACCGAGGTAATGGATGAGTCTTCCTCCAACCCTGATGTACCTTCTTCTTTATAGAGCCCAGCTTCTCAAATCCTTTGCTCTGCATATAGATTACATGGGAATAGAGGAAGGATACAGCCCTCACACACAGCTTTCCTAATCTTAAACCATGCTGTATTCCCTTGCTGTGTTCACACATCAGCCTCTGGGTTTAGGTATAGGTTTTGCATAAGTACAATTACATGTTGCTGGATTCCCACTCTTCTCAATGGTAGCTATAATTTGTTACGATCCACACAGTCAAGTGTCTTTGCATAGTCAATAAAGCATAAACAGGCATTCTTCTGGTGTTCTTTGGTTTCAGCCAGGCTCCATCTGACATCAGCAATGCGATCCCTGGTGCCATGGCCCCTTCTAAATGCAGCCTGAACATCTGGCGGTTCCCTGTCTAGATACAGTTCTAGTTGTTTTTGAATGATCCTCAGTAGTATTTTGCTTACATGTGACACTAATGATATTGTTCGGTGATTTCCACATTCTGTCGGGTCACCTTTCTAGGGAATGGAGACAAATATGGATCTCTTCCAGTCAGCCAGGCAGGCACTAACAGGTTTAATGTTAGGAAAGCCTGTTAATGCACTTGGCCATATTAGCAGATAAAGTACAAACAGACAGGATTTTAAAGTTGCAGGAAACATCTGTGGTAAGAGTTAAACCATGATTACACAAACTGAAGAGGAATGTTATGCATCGTCTGATCAATTAGTCCTTTAGTGCCCCTGTGAATTACGTGCTGGGCCCTTGCCCTGGCCCGCGCTGCCCTCATCACTGCTCTTTAGAGGAGTACTGCTGGGCACCGGTGAGTCAGAACCAACCCATGGCTGACCCTGCAGTGGGTTTTCAGAGGCAGTGAATTGCATGAAAAGAAGATCACTCATCTTTCTCTTGCAGAGCAACTGGTAAGACTCAAACAGTAAGCCTTTGGGTGTCAGTACAACTCCTTACCACTAAGCCACCAGAGCTCCCTATCAGAATAAGGAGGAAATTGTAGCTCTTTACAGGAACAGAAGAGAATCTCTTTAATCTGATTAAAGAGATTTAGACCAGAAATCTATAGCAGCAGGAAAGTGTTTTCAACTGTGGGCTGTGTTTCAG